ATGATCATACACATATCTTCATTATCATCGATTTCAACATTATCGAATAGTACTCATCATCATGGAAATAAGAAAATCTATGTACTTTATCAGTTAGCTAAAGCGATTCTCGTAGTGTACAATTTTTATTTTAGTCTTCACTTATTCAAACATTACTTGAAAATTCAGACATTGATTCAGATTGACATTCAACTAGCCGTCTAAATTTATTAGATTTAGCATTTAAACGTTTTGAAAATTTTCCTTTTTTTAAAATTAATTAACATTGAATAAATATGTCTACATTTGACTAAATTTTAGTGGTCTTCATAAAGCAAAGAAACGAGTAAGTGGAGCTTTTTTATTCAATCCAGAACCTAATAAACATTTAACAAAAAAAACATTAATTGTCCAATTCATTTATTAGAAGATGAATGGTCAAATAGTTTCGATTCAAGTAAACAAATGAGTGTATCATCAAGACCAGTAAGTATTTCAAATGAGAATTTTTCATAATTAAACTAATACATTCAGAAAATTCCGACTCATTGAATAACTGGAAGAAATCGGAAATGCGTGTGCTCATAAAGACTAGTGCTTCAATAGAAAGATTATTTATTCCAGCTGGATTGACAATTATTAAATGACGAATACGTTTATCATCAATTTAATATTTTCAAATATATTATTTAGTCTTTCTCGTTGTCTATCTATTGATATTGATTACATTTTGAATAATTAATCTTTTAAGTTTGTTTTATTCAGCTTATGAAATAGTATAATGACCAAATATTCTGATTGGTTTTTTTTCTTTGTTTTGACTTTAGTGATATATTAAGTCATGATAAAAAGGAACGAAATAAGAACTATGGTTCAATTCAATGAGCGTAGCTACGAGGAAAGTAAAAGCGACTTCTATTGAATTATTTTTAAAGTAATTCAAAACTAGCCAAAAATGGAAATTTAATAGATGAACAATTCATACAATTGTGCAGAATTCTATAATCATCTCTAAAGTTATCAAGATAACACAGAGTACAAAAGCCTTGATACTAATTGTTCCTTTATGTATTGCTGAGTTAAACTTGAATTAATTGATGTTTGTACAGAACAAAATCAGTATTTTCGTCATTCATAATATGTGTAAATTTATCGTGCCATAGAATTTCAGTCTTTTTTTCTGCTATGTGAATATGTAATTAGATAAAGAATTTTGTAGAACTAACTTCATGATATAAAGTTAGGTTTTGAGTTGAATAAGTTTTAGCTAAAATAAAAGAAAAAATGAGCCACATGAAAGTTTTGTATTGATGCCAGTTTGGGGTTGTTTCAAACATCTGCTTATATTACAGAAAGTTTGAATTAGAAATAACTCATGAGTACAGATTTTCAAAAAAAAATGACCTGAAATTCTAATTTTAATAAACTGTATTCTCGAAATTCACTATTTTCTCTGTTAAATATCTAGAACAGGCAGGATCCCTTTGTTGTAAGCCTTTACAGTAGAGGTTCTGATTTTTACAAATTTTAGTTTTCTAAAATATGATTATTTTGGATAGTCACAATCTGCAAAAGCAGTATATAATTAGATGTTCAATATAATTCTTCGATAACGTTGATCACCGAACATTATTCAAGACATCATCAAAGTTTTTCTTACTTTTTAGTTTAGATATTAAAAAGACGAGATCAATCTTTAAATAAAATCTTATTAGGAACTTTTTTATCTATCGAAGGACAAACATCAGATGAGAATAAGAAAAGTTGACTGTTGAAGTATTGTTATTCCGAACCTTCGTTCTCCGCATATCGAAATTTTACTGAATATTTCAGCACATAAACATGTAGTCCGCCTCAAATCATCTAGAAAATGGGATTTTGACTTTAAACTTTGCGCGAACAAAATTCTTAACGAGATTCGTTAATATGGAAAATGTCGAATATTCAATATTTCAGGGTAGGAAAAAAAGAACTAGAAAAGTTACAACTTGTCCCAAGAATTAATCTAATGTTTATGCAAAATTTGATTTCGGAAGTCGATTTTTCATGTGACCTGAGTAGGACTACAGATTTTTGTTGAAAAACAACGAAGGTTCGAAAAACGGAACTATTCTAAACTTTTCTATTACTCATCAAATGAACATCGTCTCAGTCGAAAAGTATGTCGTTGTGTCAAGTTGAATTTTTGTTCACTCAATTTCGATTGATATGATCTATTTTCCAAAAGAATTTAATAAAATTTTTTCAATTCCGAATTCATTTATCTCTTTGTTTTATTTAGGATTTGTTCATGGAAACTGTTCATCATTTGGATTCTTCGCCATTTATGCAATACATTCAAGAACATAAGTTCATTGAATATTACCTTTAATTTTTTTTCCATTTTATTTCTATACTTTTACAATGAATGTATTAACTGATAAAGAAAGCAGTATCTTTTTTTGACTCAAAACAGAAAACTTTATATGTTATTAACCTTTTTTGTTTCTTTTCGATGATTAACCTACTTTTCGGAATAACTTTGGATCTATGATCAAAGACACCATCGACGCTTAATAAATCAAAATCGAATGAAAACATATAAGAAATGATTCATCTATTGTATCTGATATTATGTTTTTATGAAACATGATCTGAAATGAATGTTGAAATATAAAACACTTGTGTAACTGAAACAATTCTCTATAAGCAGTAGCAGATCTGAAGACTCCAACAGAACTACTTGAATTAAGACCTTCGAAAAAAATTTTATTTTATAGAGAAAAATAGGGCGTCACCGAACTTTCCATGTGTTTCCTTCGTCAACTTGTTTTTGATCTACGAAGAGTTCGAAAAGCAATTCGATGAAGAAGATTCATGGAGAGTTTGGAGACGTGTCATTTTGCTCTATCCAATAAAAATATTTTTCAAAACCTTCGAATAGATACAAGAAATCTGGTTTTGGACGTCTTGATCTTCCGCAGATCCTCATTCAAGTGGTTTCGTTGAGGTCTTCGAGTCTACTAATCCTGATGAAGAACCCTTTTAGTTGCACATCTCTCTGTTGTACCAGAGACAATGACAGGTTTTGTTGATAAACGGTCGAAGATCGTGTCTCAATATCGTCTAGTTAACTACTTCCTGATTGCATTTCTGAAGCATCAAGTAACTGAATGGTGAAGAAGTCTCTTCTAAATTAGACTGAATAAAACAATTTCCTTGTCATTAGCAACAGCTGCTGCAGCATGTTTCACAATTTAATCCCACACAAAATTCACTAGTAGTATTATTATTATATTTTTTGTTTATGAAACACCAAAACCTGATATTCGAAATATTGTGATGGTAGCTGTTTTACGTTACGTCAACAATGTACCTCATTTGGATATTCTTACTGGAGCTTTATTAAATGCTGATGTTTTCTTGTGCGGTAAAATCAAACAATTTCTTATTCATCTTTTCATTATTAATGTTAAATTTAAGGTATTATCAGTTGAAAAGTTACAATACTATGTATTTATGGTACTGATGAATATAGTACAGCAACTGAAACAAAAGCATTGTTGGAACGGAAATATATACCACGAGAAACTTGCGATAGATATTTTGATTTACATTAAAAAATTTATAGACAGTTTCAATGATAACATTGAACAATTATATTGTGATAATTGTCAACGGTATAGAACTTGTTGGCTTATTTTGTTCTAATTTTTTTTTATATATTCATGTATTTGAAGTTTTCGGGCAGATCATTATGTAGCTGGTACATGTGCAGATGCAACATACAAATTTGTTGATGGTCATAGTGACCAATGTGATAAGTGTAGAATATTAATTAATGATGTTGAACATATTGATTTTTCGTCAGACTGCTCGAAATTGGTCAGCCTATGATCAATTGATATAGAAAGTGTCAATTAGAAGTTCCTATATAAACACCAACAACATGTCGAGAAAACATCACAAAGATAAATGGAACATCGTAGTAAGTGCGCTATTCAATGAATGAGACAACATCTTAGTCCTAAATAATTTATCCAAGACTACATAGTATAGAGGAGAATGGCGTCTAGATTCGAACATACTATCTCTCACATACATGATGGCATTCATAGTCACTCATTCATGGTGGCTATTCTAGACATGAGCAGTACCATGTCTAGACTCTTCCTGTAGAGATAATTCATCTCACTTTACTGCATTTCCAATTATTAAATATTTGAATTTTCAAACTCAACAGGGAAAAAAACAAGATTCTCTTCATTCTTACTTGGATGTCATAATAATTTGTAGTTTTAATGACAGGACCATATGGTATGGTTTCTTTAGATCTATTTTGTTAGACTTAATAGATTTTCATCAGAAAAATCACAAATAGCTGCAAATTCTGGATGTTCGAAATTAATACTTTGAACAATTGGTTTTGGACGGTGCCAACATTATAAATACTAAAAATTGTTCAATATTATATTTCAATCATTCTAGATAAAATAATAATAAATTTCAAAAATAAAAACTTATTTGAACTATTTTAAACATTAATTCGGTTAATCTTTTTCCGTAGTCGTTCTAATTTATCAATCATATTTTGATCACTTCGATTAAAATCTTCTTTGTTTAACATTGATTGTAAGCCAGTTCATTTAGTAAGTTCACAAAGTTCTTTTATAAGTAAATGATACTTGCACTGGTCCACGTTGACCAACAAGTATCACATATCGTATTCGACTTTCACGAAGTGTATCAAGTATTACAACATCAGCAACATGTGTTTTAGCTAAATCATCAATAGATGAAAACATGAATTTTGAGTACAATCAAGTTGTGATTGAAGTTGAATATTTTCTGATACACCTATTTGAAATTGTTTTCTTTTCTTTATAATGACTTAAAAATTATTTTGCTTTGTTTTCATTTTGCCATTGTATTATTCACGAAAAATCTTTAGCAGAAAAAAAACGTTTCCTGATGTTATCTCATCAGCAATATTTAAATTACGTTCAATGGATGAACTATAAGTAAATATTATAATAAAATTCTTATAGTTCTTTCACATGTTCATGTTCAACTATTTTTGTAAATAAATGTAGAACATTTTTTACTTCAAGATGATCAGATACAACATTATTATATCGAACAAGATAACAAAATGAAGGTAATTTTTCAATAATATCAATTGTTGTCGGTATTGTGTGACGAAGTTTAACTAAATTTTGTATTAAATAAAAATTAGATAGATCACTCTTTATGATACAAATGCATATTAGTGATGAAGGTAATATAGAATTGTTAGTAACTATTGAAAGTGAACATCGAATAAGACAATATACAAAACAGCGTCCATTAAAATGAGTAAACATTGACAAGATATTAAAGATACATCTAGAATATAATATGGAGCGTAATTCCTATAAAAGTTTTCAATGTCTCACTTGTAAATATTCTTTCCTAAGATTAAACATAAATTTTCAGAACAAACACTCATTCTGAAATTTTCTAGTAAAGTTCTTATGACTCTCGTTTATAGTTTATGGGGTAAGCAAAAAAAAACTTCTTGAATATTTAAATTCGAAGAAGAATCAATATGACGTATAGCAATTGTCAAGATATTAAAGAATGAGTCTTTTCTCACTTACAACATTAATTACAATTAAAACATTTAAATTATTAGTCTTTTGTTATTCTTCAATCTTATTTATGGACATCTTGTCTATTAAAAGTAATCAAATATCATGTTGCACATGTTTTATTTTCACACTAAATATGCAACAATAGAGAAAAAAAGAACGCAATTCTATTTTTCAGTTTTTTGTTGCTTAACTTCAATCATAGGTCACTCGCTTGTATTTAATTGTAAATCAGATGGTATACATTCTTCTTTTTCTTTAAAATAGATACATGAAAGACTACTATCTCCATTATCAATTGCGATAGTTTCGTTATTTGTTGTTGAAAGAGGTATTACATGTTGTGTAGTTGTTCAAGATAGTATTCATAGTCAAAAACAATCATGATAATTAGGAAATAATTGTATCAAAACGAATATGTTGAGTATGCGTTAAGAGTTTATATCTTTCAATGAATCTTGTTTTATTAATCCATCTATAAATATATATTAATGTTAGATTTTAATTTAAAAAAAATTTAAAAGAAAGTAAAAAGAAATAAATCAAATGAATGATTCAATGTTCAATAATAACCTGATGAACGATAACAAACAGCTCTTTCTAAGATTATTTTCTTTGACATAAATTAGCATCTTCATCGAAAGATTTGCCAAAATGATGAACAGCATTTAACAAAACAATAAAATGAATAAAAAAAAGACAAACCAATAAAAATAGAACATTTACCAGTCGATTAAAAATTGATTTGCCAAACATAGCTAACTAGTATATATTCACGATCATTATCATATAGTGTTTAATAAAAACAATACAAATTTGAATTTCGATGATCAAAAATCAAGGTGCAAATTTTTATTTGCAATCAGATTTAATAGTAGTCCGATACTAGGTCTTCAGATGAAATAGATTTTTTGATGCAATGCCATGCAACATGTAATAAAAAGGATCATCGGTATGATTTTAAATTGAAACGACTTTTTAACATAACAATTTACTAACTATTATCCATTTTTGAAAATAAGTCGCTTGGACAGAATTTTTATAACTTTTGAAAGGGAAATGATAGAGATCTGCGGTTTTCATTGTTGGATAGAGCACAGCAAGGCACGTGTTACTATGAAATAATCGAGCCTTCAAGTAAGGTGTTCCATGATAAATCTTTGAATGCAAACTCTACAATGCTGAAATTTCTTAGGGTATGAGGGATTTTGATTTCTAAATAATGAAACATTTTATCGTGTTTCATAATGATAAAGAAGAAAAAGAAAAGCATCCAACTTTTTCATTTCAACTTGGACTTCAAAAATATTTATGTTCCCAGAAGAATATATGGAAAAACAATCGTTTTATTTGCTATCTCATTCTGATGAGCAAAACAAGTCTTTTAAAATTGGTGGATAAATATGAAATTTTATTGAATGGATTTTGTCGGTTAACGAAGAATCAGAAAGATATATGGCACACATGGCAATGTAGATATATATTCTGAGGTTTTCTCTTAATAATTTCTCATAATGAATAGACGCTGCTAGATACAGATGAAATCTTCAACGATTTTTTCATAAGTCAATCGAATATACATAGAAATAGGCCAAAGTAAGTCAAAAAATTATTTGATTGAACAGAAAATTGGACATCAGAGTGTGAAGATAGATTTACTTAAATATGCGTATCTTAAGATCTGTTTAAAACCAAAATATCGATAAGAATTTAATGTTGTCAGAAAAATCTGTATATAATATCAGCATTTCAGACTTGATAAAACCTGTTTTTTTTGTCAATCTATTTGTGATATCAAGCAAATAAACAGAGATTCAATGATAGAGAAGTTTTATTATCTTTTAGATGTATGAAGTATAAATAAAAAATATCTATCATCATTGTTTGAAATAATCAATATAAAATGCGATCGTAAAAAAACTAACATTTTTTCTCACTCTGTTTATTTTTGGTTTTTTTTCCCAAGATTAAATACTAATAGACTGTGTTTTATATAGAAATACATTTCTTCATTGATCTTCTATGAATAATTTCAAAATTATATGAAAATACAAAATAAAATTTATTTATTGTATCTTTATGTTCAGTACACAATACTCTGGAGTGAATATCTGAAATGCTCAGATACGAATAAAGCGAAAGAATAATTCTTTCTTTTTTATAAAGTTATTTTTATAATACAAAATTCAAGTAATTCTTCTGTTGTTAACACAAACTATTTTGCATTATGCATTTTTTTTTCAAGTAATAACTAAGTTTTATTTGATATTAAGGATATGATCATATAAATGCACACGCTGTTCTTCTCCTTCTCGTTCACATCTTCGAAAAGAAAGAGAACTGGTAAAGACCAGTTCCAATTCTGAGTAAAGGTATATAGATAAATCTGTATCCAATTACGCTACCAGATATTAAAACGTTGGCTATGTATGCGTATGGATGGTGTGGTAATTTATAAAGAAGAGAACTCTAAGCTGTATGGGTTATCGTAAAGGACTGAAGCAATATAGTGAAATCAAACTGTACGATCTTGTATGAACGTGTAAGAATTTGTGGCTGATCTCACTGTCTGATTGGTTGACTTGGATTCATTCATTTGAGCTAAAACTTTCAGAATGTAATAATTGCTATGAGATCTGTTGTTGGAGAAAGTTTCTAATGGAAACTCCTTATTACAGTTTTTTTCGTCATATCTTGCAATATGCTGAAAGTTTAATAAAACGATCATGAAAGGCTTAAGGACATGAACACGTTTAATGTTATCATCACGACTTTGAGTCCTATTTATGAGCTCAAACAGAGGATATCTATTTGCTGGTAAAGAGGACAAAAAAAAATTTTTGCTCATGTTTTTATTATAGTCATACAAATTACATTTAAAAAACAAAACGATTGACATATTATCTAGTTTATATGCGATCAAAAGTTGTCTTTTTTCTGAGTTATTATTCAAATCATAACACAAAAACTAGGAAATATTTGATACTTTTCGAGAAAATATCTATATGAAAAAAATATATATCTTCACGAATTTTCAGGTGTAGTAACAGAAATTGGTGATATGATTAGATGCTTTTTTTAATTTTACAATTGATTCTTGTCGTTGTAACATTTTAGCAACAGCATGATGAAAATCTGATTGATTAAATAAAAATGCACTAATATGTCCATGAGGAATATATCGAATATGAACACCAGGCCATACATCATTGATATGTGGAATACCATCACTTAATACACATCTATCATGTGTACAAGCAATAAACATAGCATTAGATATATTTGATTGAATTAGCCGTGAACAATTATATAAAGATGTAGATTCATCCATAAGAAGACGCATCATATCTTTAATAGGATCGACAACAATCCTATTTGAATCTATTGATCTATTTTGTTCACGTAAATAATCATAAAATATTTGAGAGGCTTTATTTTCATAGAATTGTCGTTTTAAAAGAGGGTGTGGGTGTGGATCTGATATACATTCACATTCACACCCACACCCACATCCTAACATCACATAAATGACATTGTTAACTATGTTCAGAACTAATTAATAATTTGTTATATGCAAGTATGCGTTTTAATTTATGTGGAGAAATTAGCTTTTCTAAAACTGATAATGAACTCTTTATTCTTCTTTTTTTTTTGAAAATACGATTATGTATAAATCGATGACAGGATATACATTGTGCTCTTGTTGACTTAGTTGTAAGTGATGAAAGATATATTTTTTCAAATGTCATATTTTTAAATCGAACTGAGCATTAAATAACAAGAGTAAGTATATATACATATGACCATAAAGCGATAGAAAGAGAACATACTCGACAATGCCTAGAAAGATAATACGTCGAGAGAGCAATCGTGATGTTATGTTCAATGATAGAGAAAAAGAAAAGCATCTATATAACAGAGCAAAAGAAAAGACATCTAGGTTGGAATATCGAATGACTTCAAGATCTTTATATCTTAAAAAAATCAGAACAGGAACTTTTTTCTTCCCAATCTGTGTTCTCTCTCGCATGATATCATTTCCTAATAACTACATATCGTATTCTTCGAAAAAGTTCGAATCATTGTAATAAGAATTACCATTTTTTTTTCAATTGGTTTTAAAAATTGTTTGATAGACTGTATGAAACTGCATTGACAGTAAAAATCTCACTTTTTAACTCCAATTCATTGTAAAATTATATATTTAACAATGTTTGTGACGTAATTACTGAAAAATAGGTGTTTGACAGAGGTATTTTTATGTTAGGTAGTAATCATTAATAAGATAATCAGTTAAGATTATTTTTACTTTTAGTATGAGGTAAAATTTTACTAATTATTCCTGCAACTATGGATGAGATATAAATCATAGTATAATATTAGGGTCAATATTTGTTGAAAATGATTCTTTTCCTAAAATGTTGATTTCTTCGTTAAGACTAAAAATATCCAAGGTCTGGTTTAGTGATCTCATAATTTTACCTCAATCTCAACCAAAAAAATAGTTAAAAGAAAAGAAACCTAACGGGAATATGGACGCTAGTTCATTTCATAACGAACCGTAGGATTATCTAGTGGCAAAACTTCATGTTTTGTTCATCTGGTTTGCTTGGGTGTACAGTGCATATGAGTTTCGTCTTCAGTATGTCACTGCAGGAATAACGATTACGATAGTTTATTTAAAAATAAGTTTACAAAAATACATTGTAGTTGAATATTATGGGAATTGTTATCAACTATATTTGAAAATGACATGTTTGTTAATCCCGACTATTTGTCATTTACTTTAATACTTCAAAGTAAGTTGTTTCTGATTGTTGGACTGTAAGTGATGAAGCAAGAGCATTCAAGCTTGAAGAAAAGTTGAAGAGAAAATGTTTCAGAGAGATCATTTAAGTAAATGGCACACAACAGAGAATCATCGAGTTCCACAAACAAATCTACAAGGTACTTGTTCAAACCTTGGTACCATCATTTTATACCGTATGGTAGCCGAAACATAGGCTTATTCTTCCTTCCTTATTCTTCATATCCTATTACTGTTTTTGACTTAGTTCTCACTAATTTCTTCAATAAGAAACAATGATCATTTACGGTTCTCATTTTTGAAATTATTCTTGATTTTGGTTATGTGAACGAAACACGACGAGAGGATTCTGTCTAGTTATAGAGACCAAATTCATGTACTAAATAGAATGATAGGACATAAGTCATCAACTACCATTTTCAGTTGCATCAGATCGCAGATGCTACATAAAAAGTCCGAATCAGATTTTCAGAGAAAGTAGTTGATTTAAATTAGCTATTTTTCTTTTGTATTTTTGTGGTAAGGAAAAGATGTAGCTGAGGATAGGTTCGAAGAATCTTTCAAAATTCTGTTCGTTTGTTAAAATCGGTTAAACTCCGGAAGAATCATCGAAAATTGGCACTATTCAGTTGAATTCACAAAAGAGTAGCTGCCTAATTCGACTTATAATATAAATGGAGATCGAAGAAAAAACACAGCAGTCATGTTAGCAAAAGAAGAAAACTTTTTCCTCGTCACTTATCATTAATTATACAACATAAATCATGGAGACGTTACTGTAAAGCTAGGCAAAAAATTTTACTGTTTTAGCTATTTATTATTTATGATAAAGCTATAAATGGTGATGACTTTACTGTAAAGTTAGGGAAAAAATTTTATTTCTTTTTGCCATTTATAATTTATGATAAAAGCTATAAATGCCGATGACTTTACTGTAAAGTTAGGGAAAAAGTTTTACTTTTTTTGCCATTTATCATTTATGGTAAAAGTTATAAATGGTGATGAATTTACTGTAAAGTCTGCATCACTTATAGCTTTTATCATAAATGATAAATGGCAAAAAAAGTAAAAACTTTTGCCTAACTTTACAGTAAAGTCTTCATCATTTATAGCTTTTATAATTATTTATCTAAAGAGGTGCATGTATATTTTATTTTCTTAGTTATTTTCGAAATGATTAAGCACTTCTGAAAGTGCATTTATATTATAATTCGAATTAGACATCTCATGCAAATATGGTTTTTGTAGTAATTAATAAATAAAATCGTTATTTCATAATTTTGTATGATCTATGAAAAAAAAAACTTGATTAACTACGTAAAAAATCTCTTTTCTTAATGATAAACGTGATGAACGTGTTTAGATATTGAGATCATTCGAAAGCAAATAGTCATTCTAAAAGATCAATATTTTTTCTCTGTTTTTTTTCAATTAACCAAACATACCCACAGATTTGTCCTTGTAATCTTTTCAATGCTTATAAGAAAAAAAATTTTTTTTTCTTCGTTACTAAACAAATATTCATTTAGGGAAAAAAATTAATTTTTTTATTTTCTTTGTTATTTAAATTCAATTATTTTATTAAGTTGATTTATTTCAAAAATTAAAAATCAATTATTTTTGTTGAAATAATTTTTTCATAAAGCAAAGTCAAGTATATTATATAATAGAATAATTAATTATAATAGCGACAAATATAATTGTAAAATGATCTATTAACTTTATTTCTAAATTGAATAATTGATTTCATGATAAAGACAAAAGAAAAAAACAGAAATGTTAAATATACCAAATGAAAAATGTCATTTGTTGTTGTTTTTTTTCTCTTATAAAGGTTAGACAGTAATCGATGAGACACCTTTTTTTTTAAAGATAATTTACAAACAATGGATGTTTCAAGAGAAAAGCATATTTATCGAAAATGGTTAGGTGTATTGTTCTTATTAATAGAAATGAATCTTCTTGGTGGAACAATCTATGGTTTTCCGGCTATTTTTAAAGTTTTATCAAGAAATAAAATTTATCAAAATTTATGTCCATCATCAACAACAGATAAATGTTTAGAACAACTTCAACAATTTCAAGTAACTATTTTTATAGGCTTATTTTTTAAATAAATTTAATTTGTCTTTTTTTTTTTTGAAAGAATGGATTGACATTAGGTATTGCTTTTTTTGATTTACCAGCATTTGTTATTGGAGTTCTTATTGATAAATTTGGTTGTCGTTTTGTGAAACTAATTTCAATGTAATCTTTTTGTGTCTTCCGAAACTTTTATTTCGTTTGTTTGTTTATTTAAAGAATATTTCATATAATTGGATGGTTATCATTGGCATTATTACAACCAGGTAAAAAATAAAATTTTTTTTGTTTTTTTAAATTTAAAATGAAAAAAATTCCAAGGTCGAGATTATTTATTATATATTCATTGTGTATTTTCATCAATAAGTGGAATTGTAATTGTCATAACAACTTATGCATCATCAAATTATTTTTCAAAATCTCGTGCATTTGTAGCATCTTTATTAGCAGGTGCTGGAATTTCATCAACAATGTGGTTTTCAGTATTTCAAGTAAAGATTTTTTTTTACTTTTAATCAATGAAGAAAGATTTTTTTCAATAGGTCCTCGTTGATAATAAAAGATTGGAACTAAGTCATTTAGCCTATATTTGGTTAGCATTTGGTTTATTAATGTTTATAACATCATTTTGCTTTCTTGATTGGAAATATTCTTTTCTTAATTTACCATATAAATTTGATGTTCAACTTGAATTAACAGATGAAAGTATAAAATTAAATTAAAAAAAAATATCTTATTCACTGTTTTGTTTTTGTTTTAGATGAATTAGATAGAAGTTCTTTTTGGGAACATTTTCGAAGTCCATTATATATTTTAGTTGTTTTATTTTTAAGTATTCTTTTAATTCCAAGTGTATTTCTTGCTGTTGTTTGGGAACCATCTATTACATTTATTACAGGAGAAGATAAATCATTAGGTATTTATTATAATATACTCTTTAATATCTTCTACAAAGAAATCAGAAATCTTATTTGTGATTAAAATGTCCTATAATATAGTTGTTCTTGAATTTGAAGTAAAAGAATATTTTCAATTTCGTTAATGATTAGATATCAAGGATAGACGGAAGCCTGTTGCTCATGCTTATGTTACTATTATATCTCAATACATTTCGTATTGTTACGTATAACAAAAGAAAAATTGATCAAATAGGAATGGATTAGAGATGAAACCGATACTGGTCGTGAAAAATCTCGATCGGTTTCATCTCTCGGATGGATTACAAGGCGACAGTCGTTTTTGTATGCGATTTGATCTTCTTTTTTCTACCTACAATTTTATGCTTTTTCTTCGCAATAGCAGGATTCAGGAAATCTTTTCAAATAGTAACTTTATAAAAAAACAGTAAACTATTATAAGAGATTTCGTCATCAACAGTTAATAATTTTAAGATTGGAAAAACACATGAAAATTAATATGCTAAGAAAAAGAAACAATAAAAGTTTTTTTGAATATGTTAAAAGCAAAAGTTAGAAGTTTATAGATTAATTCAACATAGTAAAGTCATATTATTTTGCCTGTCAAATTTTAAATGAAATAATATAATATGATGCAAAAATAATTTGAGTTAATTGTATTATGCATTCATAAAGAAAACGAAAAGAGAAACACTCTTATAACTAATTTTGTAATTTTTAATTTGATTCATCAAATAAGTCGTGTAAAACGATAGTTAAACATTTTGTAAAGTAAGATATTTCAAGAACAACAATTTATTACATAAGAGTGACTGTCTAATTAAACTTTTTAATTGCAAATTAAAACAACTAGTGAAATCTATTAAACTAATCGCAGCGGTATCAGTCGGTGTAAATTAACTACATAGCAGAATTTTCAATTAACATTATATTTTACTTGATTTACATTGTATCGCTATTCTACATTATAAGAAATGTGTGAATTCATTTTGACTGTACTTCTCTTTTCTGTTGCATCATTTCATTTACGAATTTGTGACAAAAATAAATTGTACACGATTTGAAAGAGTAATAGGAACTGACATTTGTTAAATTTCTACATTTTTGATTGAATAATTATTTTAGCAAATAAATATACATTTGCATACAATGTTTCAACATTATTTTCAATAATAATTTGTCCAATAAATGGATTTTTACTTGGATTTAAAGCTGATAAAAGTAAAAAATTTAATAATAAATAAAGAAAAATACTTTTATAATATTTTAGGTAAAAAACAAAAATTATTAAATATTTCACTTGTTCAAACAATTTCATGGTTATTAAATGTTACTCTATGTATTATTCCAATGTTTTTATCACCAAATATAATTATTCCTTTATTAATAATAAATTGTTTATCACGAGCAACAATCGTTGCTGGATGTCAAGCTGTTATATCAACATTGTAAATTACGATACAAAAATCTTTGAAAAAAAAAAAATTTTTATTTTTAAGTTTTCCATCTGCATATATTGGTCGATTAACTGGAATAATGTGGACAATTGTTGGAGCCATTACTTTTATTCAATTTGCACTTGTTAAATTAACTAATCCAATTACAATAGCATGGAGAGTAAGATTTCTTTTTGAATTAAATTATTAATTCATATGAATTTATTTATTTAGGCATGGCTAATTGTATTAGCATTAGTTGTATTAATGTCATCTCATTTAATTCAAATATGGATTAAATATTTTAAAGAAAGAAAAAAAGAATTAAATAATTTTTTTGTAACAAATACAAGATTTTGAAGTATTTCTTTCAATGACTTTAATAAACCACACAAGAGTTCATTTATTCATTTTAATTAATAAAATAGAAAACAAAATTTTATTTTAAAAGACATACCAGGCCTCGAAATCGGGCCACTTTTTTAGAAAAAGTTACATCAAAAAAGGATAAAATCTTCGGGCCGGACGGCCCGTTTCAAGGGCTGGAGTATACTTGTCACTAAAGTTATCTTCTCGTCTCTATTAGTTTTGGATACAAATAACTTGGACATAGTAAAACGATCATGAGGAACATCCTTTTTGTTATCCAACCCGATAGATATGGACAAGATGGTCCTCGTCTTGATGGGACTGAGACCAACACTTTTTCATTGGGAATGATATTTTTTTTATGGTTGTGTAAAACTTACGTCAAATGTCATATTCTCACGATTCATGTGTTCTAAAAATTTATGCAAAAATTATTGAGTAATGATTAGTGTTCTGCACGACGTAGGATATCCTAGGTCTGGATTCGAGTATTTTCGAGTATTTCT